GGGCCGCCCGGGGGGCGGGCGCAGGCTCGCAGGGCTCCATCTGGGTGCCCGACGGGTCCGGCTCCGAAACCCGGGAGGTGGCAGGTCCGGCCTTGGAAGGTTTCCGGGGAGCCTTTCCGCACCTGCGGTCCATGTCTGGCCTTGTCTGTTCCCGAATGGAGGGTCGGCCGTGGGAAGAGGAACTCGCGACGGCAGCTGAAAATGAAACTTAAAAAAGTGGCGCGAAGACGGCGGGCGAGGCCTGGAAGCTGGCACGAGCGGGAATTCGGAGGCCCCGCCCCCGCCGCCGAGGCCCCGCCCTCGCCGCCGAGGCCCCGCCCCTCCGGGAGAACTGGTCTCGGCACCTGCCCACAGTCCCCTTTCCTTCCCGAGCTACCAGCGATGCTGTGGCCTGGGAGCCACGTGCACATCACGCCAGACTAGGAGAACACGGTTGAGTGCTTTCCTGGGCAGACGTGCTGGCAGACCACCTAAGATTGCTTTTGGAAAGCTGTCTACTGTATTTGAAATTGGCACTGAAAACCTTCCCACTGTGGGTTTTAGTAAGGGGTTGTTATCGTTCTTTTATTTTTTATTTCTTTATGGTTACCATACAGGTGCTGTGCAGTGGGATTACAGTTACGTAAGTCAAGTAATAGTAAATTTTCCCTCTCTTCCTTGCTGCTGTTAATGGGAAATACAACATATTAGAACTTTATAAGACAGAATGAGACAGATACTGGTGGCTCGCATCTGCTATCCTAGCTACTCAGGAGGCTAAGCTCTGAGGATCACACTTCAAACTTCTCCTGGGCAGGAAAGTTCAATTAGCCACCAAAAAGTATTGGAGTCCATGAGAATCTTATCTTCAGTTAACCACCAAGAAAGTCAGAAGTGAAGCCGGGCACTGGTGGCTCACACCTACAATCCTAGCTACTCAGGAGGCTGAGATCTGTGGGTCGCAGTTCAAAGCCAGCCCTGGCAGGAAAGTCCATGATACTCCTATCTCCAATTAACTACCAGAAAACTGGAAGTGGTGCTGTGGCTCAACTGGTAGAGTGCTTGCCTTGAGCTTAAGAGTTGAGGGACAGCAGCCAGGCCCAGAGTTCAAGCCCTACGACAGACCAAAGAAAAGAAAGAAGTGGAGCTGTGACTCAAGTAGTAGAATGCCAGCCTTGGGCAGAGAAACCTCAGGGGCAGCACCTGAGTTCAAGCCCCAGTCTCAGTACAAAAATTAAAATATGGGGCTGGGAATGTGGCTTAGTGGTAGAGTGCTTGCCTAGCATACATGAGGCCCTGGGTTCGATTCCTCTGTATCACATAAACAGTAAAAGGTGGAAGTGTTGCTGTGGTTCAAGTGGTAGAGTGCCTTGAGCAAAAAGCAGCTCAGGCACTGTGCCCAAGCCCTGAGCAAGCCCTATGACTGGCAAAAAAAAAAAAAAAAAAGTAAAACATAGAATGAGATGAGAATTACCTAATCAGATTAAGTATTTCACTTTCACTTTAGAAAAAATATCTTAAAGTTCCTACTTAGGCATTTTATCCTTCCTTTTCTAAAGCCATCGAAAATGACACTAGGGCCAGCCAGGGGTGTGACTCAAGTGGTAAAAGGCCAGTCCCCCCACCCCTCCAAAGAAGGAAAGAAAGAAAAAGGAAAGAGGGAGGCACTGACCCACTTCTGTAATCTTAACTATCTGGGAGGCTGAGACCTACGGAAAATGATTCCAAGCCAACCCAGGCAGACTTTTATCTCCAATTGCTGGAAGTGAAGGAGTGGCTAAAGTTGTAGAGCACCATCCTTGAGTGGAGAGTGTGAATCCCAGTATAGGAACAAAAAAGAAGACAGCAGGGGAAGGGAGGAAGGAAAATGAAAGAAAGGGGAAGGAAGGGAGGGAGAGAGAGAAAAAAAGAGACAAGGGAGAGAGAGAAAAGACAGAAATAAAGTGGAGCAGTTTACAGTTTAAATTACAAAAACTACTTCAGCTGTTAGATTCTGGAGCCTGTCAATACCGACTTCAAAGCCAAGCTTTTATAACAATGCCTGCTCTATTAGGAGTTGTCCTTACAATTTGCCTTGTGAAAGTTAAAATGTGTTTGTGACTCTAAGTATCACTATTCCACAATACTGTGAAATTTATGTAATCACCTAATCTCAATTAAAAAAAATGTGAGAGAAAGGATGGATTAAGAGAGATGGGTGAGGGGCTGGGAAGGTGGCTCAGTGGTACAGCGTTTGCCTTGCATGCATGAGGCCCTGGGTTTGATTCCTCAGCACCACATAAGCAAAAAGAAAAAAGCCAGAAGTGAAAAAAGCCGGAAGTGGCGCTGTGGCTCAAGTGGTAGAGCACTAGCCTTGAGCTGAAAAGCTGAGGGACAGCGCCCAGGCCCAGAGTTCAGGCCCCACAACTGGACCCAAAAAAAAAAAGATAATTTAAAAAATAAAATTAAAAATTTAAAAAAGGAATTGTCCTTAGCAGCATTATTTTGCATCCCTTCCAATGCCTGGCATTCTAAATCCTAAAGAATAGCCACACCTAGATAATTACAAAATAAACTTTCTTTTTTTGTCAGTCATGGGGCTTGAACTCTGGCCTGGGCGGTGTCCCTCAACTCTTAAGCTCAAGGAGAGCCACAGCACCACTACCGGTTTTCTAGTGGTTTATTGGAGATAAGAGTCTCACAGACTTTCCTGCCCTGGCTGGCTTTGAACCGTGATCCTCAGATCTCAGCCTCCTGACTAGCTAGGATTACAGGTGTGAGCCACCCGTGCTCCGCTAAACTTTTTTAAAAGTTCAAACCAGAACAGAACTCTGTGACCTTCAGCTAACTTGCAGGAAGGTGTAGGGAATTTCCAGCCAGTGGCAGGATAACCTGGATTTTATGTACTGTATGGTCCATCATTGATGTTATAAACATCCAAGTGATCTTTAGCACACACAAAAAAAGTTTCCACAGCCCAGAATATGTAACTTCTCTCCTTATTCCTTATGTATGTAAATGGGTGGGATCTTTAACTTGTAGAAAAGTTTTTGGGCTGGGAGCTGGTGGCTCACATCTCTAATCCTAGCTATTCAGGCAACTGAGATCTGTGGATAGTAGTTTAAAGCCAGCCCAGGCAGGAAAGTCCAGGAGACACCTACTTCCACTTAATCATCAAAGGCCATAAATGGAGCTGTAGCTCAAGTATAGAGCTAACTTTGAGCAAAAAAACTGCTGGGATCATACCCAAGCACTGAGTTCATCACAAAAACAGTGTTTATTAAATAGTTGTACAAAAGGGTTTCAATTCAACCTACCAGTTTATGAGTACAATCTTGATTAGTGTCATACCTTCCATCATTCCCCCTCCTAGTCCTACCCACACCCTCATTACTTGGTTCCATTTTCACATATGTACTGAATACTTTGACTACATTTGTCCACCCTTCTCTCCATTCCTCTGCCCTTCCTTCTCTTTGATCTCCTCCCGTGAAAAAACATGCTTCCGATTCCTGGTATTCATTTTGTTAAATCTCCCCTAAGTATACCTACTTTAGTCAATCTGTGAATATGTTTTCATGTATGCTTATAATTTATATCGAACTTCCCCATATGAGAGAAAACATGAATCCTTTATCTCTCAGAGCCTGACTTACTTAACATAATTTTTTCAGGTTCATCCGTTTTTCTACAATTGACATAATATTGTTCCTGATGGATTGGCAAAGTTCCATTATGTGTATAACTTTATTAATATATATCAATATACTTATATATCATTGACTATATTATAATATTAATGTATTACATATAATATATACTAAGATAATGTTATATGTATTGATCTATTAATTGTTGTGATTATATCAATTAACAAATTATATTAACCTATATTAATATAGATCAATTGATAAATATATACTAATTAATAAATTATATTAATAAATATATTTATTGGTTATATTAATATATAAGTGTATGCATGCATATATATGTTATATCACCTTTTAAATTTTATATATATGTATTTTTTAGGGTTTTTTTTTGTCAGTCATGCAGCTTGAATTATGGGCCTGGGTGCTGTACCTCAGCTCTTCAGCTCAAGGTGAGCGCTCTACCACTTGAGCTACAGCACCACTTCCGGTTTTCTGGTGGTTTATTAAAGATATGAGCTACCAGTTCCTAGCCATTATTTTAAAAATTTTTTAAAAGAAATTTTCAACATAAAAAGTTAGGAGCTGGGGGGCTGGGAAGGTGGCTCAGTGGTAGAGTGCTTGCCTTGCATGCATGAGGCCCTGGGTTCAATTCCTCAGCACCACATAAGCAGAAAAACCTGGAAGTGGTGCTGTGGGCTCAAGTGGTAGAGTGCTGGCTTTGAGCTGAAGAGTTCAGGGACAACATTCAGGCCCAGAGTTCAGGCCCCATGACCGACAAAAAACACA